CAGGAGCACCTGGGTAGTGGAGGCAGAGTGGGTTGAGATTTTAAATAAGTCATCAGGGCAGCTCCACTTAAGCAAAGGCTTTAAGGAGAGGGGGCGCTAGTTATGCAGATCCCTGGGAGAGTGCTGCCGGCTGACAGAGCAGTCAGCTGGGGAGCCGAGTCAGAGGTGAGATGGGCAGCCTGAGCCCAGGGCAGGGCAGAGGGAGGGAGACTCGAGGGGGAAGGAGCTGGGGGGCCATCCTAAGGACTGAGACTCTTCTGAGGAAAATGGGAATGGTGGCAGGGTTCTGAGGAAGTGTGATCTGGCTCTGGTAAATTCTGAACACCTCCCTCCTGATGCCATTCTGAGAATGACTGCAGCAGGGACACGAGCTACAAAGCTACTGCAGTAGTCTGCGTGCGAGACGGTGGTTCCGATCAGCAACGTGCAAGGGTGCAGCAGAGATGGTGAGCGGGTTAAGAAGGGGCATCTCTCATCCTTGAGACTTCAGCCTCCTACTCTTGCTCAACGCTGAGGGAATGCTGCTTGACCTAATGCAAGGTATCTTTGGATTCAGAGCTTATAGTTCATTAGACACAGCAACAATTCAACAAATATGTGTGGAAGTTAAAACAGACAAAAATCTACAACACAATTCCTGAAGCATGTTTTTATGAGCCTATCCAGTTCCTTGGCATGTATCTGACACTTAGTACATGCTTAATGAATGGATAAACAAATGAATAATGCATCTTATACTGAGTGAATAATGTACTCCTTTAGACATAATCATTTACAACCATTAACTTAGAGTATTTCATTACCATAAATGTAACTCATTTTGATTACCTTGCTTTTAAGAATTATTTTTGGCTTTTATTGCCACCACTGTAAGTCATTTAAGCTTCATTATTTTACCTAAATCATAAATTTGTTTTAAAAATGATCAGACTCAAAATGTACTTTCGTAAAGTTTGGTATGAGACTGGAGTTAGAGCCCTAATACTACAGTTAGCTTGATACCAATGGACCTGAGCCTCATTCTACTCACCCAAAAGGTTATGAATGCCACACACTGATGTCCAGTGTCTCTCCCAGCTTGAAAATTTAAATTTGTATGTCTGGAGGAAACTCTAATTTGACAAGATACATCTACCCCAATGTTCATAGCAGCATTATTTACAACAGCCAAGACATGGAAGCAACCTAAATGTCTATCAACAGGTGACTGGATAAGGAAGATGTGGGGGGTGTATACACACACACACACACACACACACACACACACACACACACACACACACACACACAC